CAGGAAACTTCTTAGCTTTGGTTTAGTCCAGTTGTGCTGACTTCCCCTGTAGTATGTGCTGTCCTTCCCTTCACCTAAGATAAAACTTGTCTACTATTTAGTTAGTGAATAACCCTCACCCTCCCTCTCCACCCTTATAACTATCAAAGAATGTTGTCTTCTGTCAAACTCAAGTATTTTTTCAGTCCACCTCTAACTTTATGTGGCATATGACACTGGTGGACACTCTCTTCTTGAATCTGCCAACTCCAGAGGTTCTTAACCTGAGGTTTATGAACACCCAGAGGGTCCTAAGTTAGATTTCAGGGTGTATGTGAGCCTGCTGAGATTATATACCTTTTGTGTGCATTTTTCTGGGGAGTACTTTTCAGACTCTCGATGGATGTGGGACCAATTAGATGAGAATACACAGCTCCACCCCCTCCTCTTCTCTGGACACTCCTTCTCGTACTCCATCATGGAACTCTCTGCCTCTCTGTCCCCAGGGTCTAAGCCCTGACCCTTCTATCTCATCACCTGCCCTGTTCCATCCCTGACTTTAATCATGCCCCACATGCTGACCATCCCCCAGATCTATCACAACTACCAGCTCCTGGGCATCTCCATGAGGTTGTCCACAGGTACCTCAAATAAGCTTAACATCTCCCCTATGAAGCCAACCATCTTTCTCTTTTCTCCTGTCCATCTCATCACCCCAGGCTGCTCTTCTTGGGTTTCTTTCTGCAGTGGGGGGCACTGATGTCCATCCAGTTACCCAAGGAGTCATGCTCAACTTATCCCTCTCCCCCATGTCCAACTGGTCACCAAGCCCTGTCAATGTCACCTCCTTGTGTCGGCTCACTGCTCTTAGTCCCCTACCACCTTATCACCTCTCGCCCAGATGACTGCATCAGTCTCCCAACCCAACTCCCTGCCTCCAAAGCTGTTAAAACCCTTCCACAATGCCTCTTTACCTTCAGGCAACGTCCAAACCCCACAACCTGACCCCGCCTCATCTCCCCGTCACCTGGCATGGTGGCTAATCCAAACCACTTGTGGTTTCTTAGACATGCCATACTTTTTACCCATCTCTGTAATTTTACTCGTTTCTGTCATTGGAATTCCCTTCTCTTCCTTTCTTATCCCTTGAGATTCAGCCCACGTTTCCTCCTCTGAGAAGCCCCTGCAGATCTCCTTCACGGCTCCCAGGCTGGGTCAAAGCCCTGGCTCTGCCCTCCGATCACCCTACCCAGAGCTGCAGGCGCCGTTCCTCACTGCTTATTCCCTGTGAGCAGGGAAAGGGCTGGACACACAGGAGCACTGCCTGGTCACAATCCCGCTGAGGTCTGGCATCCTCATCTGAGAAGGTCACCCTGTGACGGTTCCAGGGTGGCCCTCGCTCTGACATGTGGTCAGCAATGCTCTGGGGCCATCCTGAATTTGCAGAACCCTCTACTTTTCAAAGCACTGTCATACAGGCATCTAGGATCTTAAGCCGTGAACTTGTGTCTCCATGTAGCTTCCCCTGGTGCTTGGCACCCTGACTCTTGTGCATTTATTATGTAGCTGCACCAGGACCCCCTGAGTCTCTCACCTTGTTTTTGGACTCTTATTTTCTCTGCCTATGGCTTGTGCTTTGCCACGTGGGAGGCCTTGGAGACGTATCTCACGCCACCATCGCTGGCATCATGGTCTCAGTCTCACTAACCCTCCACACTGGGCCTTTATTAGACAGGCAAATTGCAGCTCTCTGCAGAGGCCTGGGGTGCTCACCCAGCCTTCAACTCACCCTCCCTGCCACTCAGAAAAGTCCTCTCCTATAGGTCAAGTCCCTGCCCACCCCCTCACCCCAGCATAGCTCCTGCCGGCCCATCTAGCCGGAGCTGGTACCGCGTGGCATCTCTGGAGGAATCTGGCAGAGGGACCCGGGCCAAACCTGCAGCCTAGCCTGTCCCTCCCCCACAGCTCTGGCGGCCTTGCCACTGTTGGCGATTGTTAGGGGAGTTCCGGGTGACAGTGGACAATTCAGCCAGCAGGCCTTCTGAGCAACAAGCCCTGTGCTGTGCCTGAGCTATTCAGTGTGGGCAGAAAAGGGTAACCTTGGCTCTCAGGACGCACACATTAACCCTCAGGGACCAGGCGCAGCTCTGTGCTGGGGGAGGGGCTGCTGCAGCTTGCTCATCATTCCCCCACCCAAGTCATGTGGAAAAACCCGGTGCCTCCCATCCAAGGGCAGGGAAAGAACTTGTATCTGGTGGAGAGTGTGGAGTCCAGGGCTCACAGGCAGGAAGGCGAGGGGTGATCAGGAAAGGGGAGCCAACCTGGGGGACACACTACTCCCAGCACCCCTCTCCTTCCTGGGCCCTCTGTCTGAGCCCTTACCATGGACTAGCACCTCCCCAGGCAGGCTGTGCCAGGATGGACAGACCACCTGGGCAGATGGTATGTATCTGGAGGCCCAAGGTAGGCAGTGAGCCTATGGAGGTCGCTAGCGGAAGAGGCCGCACCGAAACCCTGTGGGACACCCTGAGACTCCGCCTCCTAGGCTCTTTGGAAGTTGTCCCCGGCTGGCCCCTCTCTCTGTCCCCTGCCTCCAAGCTAGCGGCACCTGGTACCCACATCCCAGCCACACGACCCTGAATCACTCATTCAACTTCTCTAAGGCTCCATTTCCTCATCTGAAAAGGGGATGATGATGACACCTTTCTCACGGGCTATTGGGAGGGAGATGGCCCAGGACAAGTGCTCAGGAGAGGACAGGTGGCTGGCACTCCATCAGGTCTCTGCCACACGGGCCTTTGACACAGAGACACCGAGGATACTCCAGGATCTCTCGCCCAGGTTCCCTGCTCATCTGCACTCTGTTCACAGGCCATTCTGAGTCCAGCTCGCAGCTGGGCCACCTGATGGGATGATTTCATCCAGTTTCTGGACAAAGAACCCAGGTCACACATGTTATGATATAAGGCTCAGTGAGAAGGCCCCTTTTTTATTGCTATGCCAGTTGACAGAATGATTCCATTTAGTTTCTCCTGACTTGTTGCTGGTACTTGTATCCATTTGGGGGGAAGTCTGGCAAAATTTTTCTTTAGAAGACTATTTCTACATATAAAAATCAAAAAAGCCAAACTAGTTGCTGTCATGTTGAGTCGATTCAGAGTTCATAGCAACCGTACAGGACAGGGTAGAACTGCCCCATAGGGTTTCCAAAGCTGTAATCTTTATGGAAGCAGACTGACACATCTTCCTCTCATGGAGCAGCTGGTGGTTCAAACTGTCTACCTTTCAGTTAGCAGTCAAGTGCTTTAACCACTGCGTCACTAAGGCTCCCTTCTTCCTATAGCTAGGTTTCATTAAAATAATTTTGTGATATGGTTTAAGGCTCTGTGTTCTCAGAAACCCAGGACTGGGGAGAGCACTGAGGGCTCTCACCTCCAGGATCCACGGGGGCAAATCAGGAAGGAACCTGGAGTTACCTGTGGTGAAGGATGTGAAGAGCCGGACGTTGCCTTGGGCGAGGGTTCGGTAGTAGGACCAGCTGAGGTACAGCATCAGGGGAACCCAGATGATGGGAACACTGTACCTGCAGGAGGGCCACCAGGGTGAGAGAGACACACATGGGGGCTCGACAGGGTCCAGCTTCCCTAGTGGCATGTCTTTTGATTAGAGGGAGTCAAGATGACCCCAAAGCACATGCAGAAAGCATATGGAGACCTGGGGTCAAGGGACTCTAGTGTTGCGGGGGAGAAAAGAGGAGAGAGGCTGTGAGTCTCTATGCCCCTGTCTCTTAGATGAATTACTGGCAGAAAGGATCTGTGTCCACAAGGCTACTGACTCTTGAGTAGCTGGATAGACACAGAGCTCTTGTGGCAGAGGAACCAACTGCAGGCAAAATTATTCCCATGGGCATTGCTGTTGTTAGTTGAGTTGATTCTGACTCATGGTAACCCCACATGTGCAGAGTAGAACTACTCCATAGGATTTTCAAGGCTGTGACCTTTTCGGAAGCAGACTGCCAGGCCTTACTTCCGATGTGCTTCTGGATGGGTTTGAAATACCAGTCTTTCAGTTAGTAGTCTGGTGCTTAATTATTTGCATCACCCAGGGACTCTCCATGGGCATTAGAGGCTGGGAAACCTGGTATCCAAAGCAGTTTCTGGCTACATCTTGGGTTGTCACCTACTTAGTGGTCAAAACCATGCGTAGGAATGGATTGTACGTAAGCCATGCCCCACCCTTCCCAAGAGCCTTGGGCTGTGGGGACGAACCCAATTGCCTCTTCCCCTTTCATATCTGGCTGGCACAGCCTTGGGCTGTGGGGAGGAACCCAACTGCCTCTTCCCCTTTCATATCTGGCTGGCACCATTAGGAGAAAGTGACAGCCCACCATGGGCTCAGAGCACAGCTCACCAGACAGTCTTGGAGAGGGACTCAATGAGGTCTGAGTGAAAGAGGCGGATGGGCCTGGTCACTGGCTGATGGACCCACTCATCGTACTTCTCTCCCAAGTGGCCCACCTGCCACAGTAGGGGCTTCTGCCAGTCCACCAGGTCCTGCAAGAGACAAAGTAGAGCGGACACGTGATATTCACACCAGCCCACATTCACTCTCCCAGCTCCTGATTGCAGCATCCTGACCCCCCCCACCAGTCATGTGGACTGTGTAGGGCTACCCACCCTCCCGGGTCAGTGGTCCAAAGCTGACCAAGCCACTTGTCCCAGTCCCCTGGCCACAGAGATGGGATCCAGAATAGGCCCATGACCCAAGATGGTGCAGTGAGCTGTCAGACACCCTCTCTTCCTGCTGGAGTTGCAAAGCTGGCAGGGTGTGAGCCTGGAGCTGTTAGCAGAGCCTGCCTGAGGACACAGCCAGCACAGAGGAAGGCCAAGGCAAGAGCAGAAGACACAGAGAATCCTGCTGATGATATCTGAGTACCGAGTCTTCCCCAGGGCTCTTTATGCACAGGAACCAGAACATTCTGCACCAGGACTGAAATAGGCCCTTTTCTCTTCGTGTTGGCATAGGTGATTCACTCATTAACCCATTCAAACAATCATTCATTCAACAATTTGCTTAATATTTCAGATGTATATACTTCTATGCTAGGTGCTGGAAGAATAAACAGAAATTAAGAGACCATCTTTGCTTCATTCAGTTTAGCACTTAATCTGAGTTCAGGTGCTGGAGTCTGGCCTGGGGACAAATCTTGGCTCCACCACTTACTGTGTGACCCTGGGCAAATTACTTGAGCTCTCTGAGCCTCAGTTTCCAAAACTATGAAACAGGGGTAATAATAATGGTGCCAGTAAGATTAGACATTAACAAGTAAGATAGTTTAGTGGTGATGCAAGGCAGGCTGAGATCAGGAGGCAGGATGACTGGCACAAACGCTTGGTTCCAGGGTAGGGGACAAGAGCTTTGCAGGGGACCTGGGGTTTGGGTTGGAGGTTGCACAACACAGAGGATTTGGAAATCGGAAGAGGGGAAAGCAGGAAAAGGAATAGGGACATAGATGTGGACTTAGAACAACTGTGGCCCGATTGGTACTTTGATACTGTCTGTGCGGCAGCAGAAGAGAAAGCTGCTAAGGGATTTAGAGAACAGAACACCCCATACCAGGCCCAGGGTTGGCACTTTGTCCTCCTGGCCTGTTGTCTCAAGGGGTAGATGTGTGGTACCTATGGGTACTCCCAGGCTGATCCCCAGAGGGTAGAAGAAAATTTATATTCTATTTCTAATTATATTTATCTAATCTTTAAACCAATTTTGAATGTTTCCTAATGAACGTAATCCAAGAGTACAGTAGTGCATGCAAATAATTCACAAATAGCAAAAATATGCATATATTGCCACCGAGTCAATTCTGACTCATTGTGACCCTACAGGGCAGAGAAGAACTGCCTCATAGGGTTTCTAAGGCTATAATTATTAAAGAAGCAGACTGCCACATCTTTCTCCCATGAAGTGTATTATGGATTGAATTGTGTCCCCCAAAAACGTGTGTCAACTTGGCTAGTCCATGATTCCCAGTATTGTGTGACTGTCCACCATTTTGTCATCTGACATGATTTTCCTATGTGCTGTAAATCCTACCTCTATGATGTTAATGAGGTGGGATTAGCGGCAGTTATGTGAATGAGGCAGGGCTCAAGATACGAGTTGCGTTTTAAGTCAATCTCTTTTGAGATATAAAGGAGAGAAGAGAGCAGAAGACATGGGGACCTCATACCATCAAGAAACAAGAGCCAGGAGAATAGCACGTCCTTTGGACCCCGGGTGCCTGCACTGAGAAGCTCCTTGACCAGGGAAGATTGATGACAAGGACCTTCCCCCAGAGCCGACAGAGAGACAAAGGCTTCCTTCCACTGGAGCTAACACCCTAAATTCAGACTTCTAGCCTCCTAGACTGTGAAAGAATAAATTTCTCTTTGTTAAAGCCATCCACTTGTGGTATTTCTGTTCTAGCAGCACTAGATGACTAAGACAGAGTGACTGGTGGGTTTGAACCCCTGATCTTTTTGGTTAGCAGCTCAGTGCTTAACAACTGCGCCACCAGGGCTCCTTATGGAAGGTGTGCTCAAAATGTTTTACTCATCGGGATGCAAGATCCAAAAAGTGTGGAGGCCACAGTTCAAGGCAATGGGGAGCCCCTGAAGATCTCTGAAGAGTCTATGTATTGGGGAAGATTAATCTGGACCAATAACAGTAAATTAAGTAAAGAATAATGAACTTGGAGTCAGGGAGCACCTTAAAAGTCTGCCTCTGCCATTTATCAGCTTTGGAATCCTGGGAAAGTGTCCTTACCTCTTAGAGCCCCCTCCGTTTTCTTGCCTGTAAAGCCGAGTGTGCCTCCACCCACAGTGTCTGGCACATTGTGGGCATTCAATTAATCTCTGACACAAGGGACAAGAGTTAGGAGGCCACTGCAAGTAAGAAGGGTGGCAGTGACAGGGAAAGCAAGGAAGAGATGTAGGTGGAAGAAGAACACTCATGCCTGGAAGAAAGAGCCAACAGTGATTCCAGAGGCACTGGCTAGAATCTCATCCTTCCACAGGCCTCCATGTCAAAGCTGCTTGGCTCCAGCGGGTCACCCAGGCACTGGCCTCCATGTGTTTCCAGCCCTACCAGAGGTGAAGCCAGCCCCATGGTCACAGCCTTGGAACAGGACTGTAGGGGCTCCCAGGGAAAGCAGGGCAGGTCACTGGTCACTCTCTCTGTGCCTGTGACCATGAGGAAAGGCCCAAAGATGGTAATGGTTCCTGCCGTGAGAACTCAGCAGGTCACAGGTGCTGCCTGCCTCCCTGTGGCAGGGAGGTCACTTCTGCTTCTGACCCAAGTCAGTCCGGAGCCATCCACCCCAGCACCAGCTAAATCAGGCAATCAACCAGACCCAGGCTTCTCACTGATTCCTTTCTGGCCCCAGTCCTCTGTCTCCTTGGCCTCATCCCTTGGATCTGTAGGACCTTAGCAGCAAATGGATTCATTCTGGCTTATTCCTTCCATTTTTCTACCCCAGGTCTCTAAACACATATACACATGTGCGCACGCACACACACACGTGCGCACACACACACACACACACACCCCACACACCCACCCGGGAAGAGAACTGGAGGAACCAGCCCATGGCCTATGTTTATACCTTATCTCACAGCAGCCTGTATAACCCCACCTCAGAAGAAGCTGGGTCAGGGTCATGGTGAGAGTTTGAGGCTGTGTTCCAATTGCAGTAACACTGAAAGCTAACACTCAGAGCATTTGCTACATGCCAAGCATGGTTCTAAACACTTTACACGTATAAATCGTTTGATCCTCACCTACCCCTAACTAGGTAGGTCCTATATTACCCTCATTTTGCAGACGAGGAAGCTGAGGCTAAGCGACTTGCCCAAGATTAACCAGTTATGTCTTCTTGATGAATTGACCTCTTTATCATTGCAAACCTTGGTATTACTCATTGTGAACCTCATCCTGAAGTCCGCTTTGTCTGATATTAATAAAGCCACACCAGCTTCCTTAGTGTTTTCACAGTGAATCTTTTCCACCCTTTTACCGTCAACCTGTCTATGTCTTTACATTTAAAGTGCATCCCTTGCAGACAGCATATACATGGGTTTTGCTTTTTATCCAGTCAGATAATCTCTGTCTTCTAATTGGAGTGTTTAGTCAATTTACATTTAATGTTGGGGTTGGTTATTCTCTATTTGTTTCCTTTGTTCTTCCTTTCTTGTTTTATTTGCATCAATCAAGTATTTAAAAAATATTCTATTTCCACTATTGGCTTTTTTTCCCCATTGAGGTGAAACTCATATAACATAAAATCAACCATTTTGAACTGAACAATTCAGTGGCATTTAATATACTTATAATATTGTACAACAATGACCTCTACCTAGTTCCAAAGCATTTTAATCACCCAAAAGGAAACCCTGTACCCATTAAGCAATTGCTCCCCATTTCTCCCCTACCTCTAACCCTTAGCAACCACCAATCTGCATTCTGTCTCAATGGATATTTCATCACTATTGGCTTTTTAGCTATGCCTTTTTGTATTCCGCCACCCCCACCCCCCACTCAGTGGTTGCTCTAAGGATGATAATATGCATTCTTAACTCATCATCATCTCTTGTACACTTAATCCTGACTTTGCTACCTTAGCTGATGAGTATTCACAGCTATTCCTTGGAAGTGTGGATAGGCGGCCCCCTTTCTCAGCCTAGTAGTGGGGTTTGGGCAGATTTTCACCTGTTAATCCATTTTGCCCTTATTTCATAAACAAGTAGAAAACAGCATAGAATTCATAAGCCTACTTCATTTGAGACACAGAAAGAGATGACTAGGGGAGCAGGGAGCAGTGAGTCCAGCCTGAATGGCACACTCTATTGAGAAGGGAACAGAACAACAGGACAGAACATACATGGGAAGCTGGAACTAGACTGCTGCAGGAGTGTTTACAGGTGTGGTGGGAGTACAGCCTCCTAACACAGGGGCCTGTGTTTGACTTTCTGTTGCCCATTTGAGGTTTGCACATGATTTCAGCTACTCCCTGGGCATACCAGTGGGCTCTGGCCACCTGTACAAATGGCTGTCTAGAATCAAGCCCAAGGCTGCTTCTGACCTGCTCACTGGCCTTGGAGGGTCTCAAATCCAAGCCCCACGCCTAGCCCACAGGGCATATTCATGAGGTACCCCTCCTTGATGCCCAGGGAGGGCCACTTCCTTTTGGGGCATGTAAGGACCACCCTGGAAGAATCCCAAGAAGGCCTCTCTCTCCTCCCTGCAAACACCCCCCTAGTTATCAAGGAGACACCTATAAACACCACTGGAGTCGCAGTCCTGCTATTCTATATCAGGGGAAGTAAAGTGAACCTTCCACGTAAGTACAGAAATCCAGGCCCTCTGACCTCCTTCCCATTTTATGGATGAGAACACTCAGGCCCAGAGAGGTTAAGTGACTCCTGAGATAGAGCTGGTCGGTCCTGGTGTAGAAGCTCCCCATTTCCCTCCCTCTCCCAGCTTGTAGGCCACTCCATACCATTCCCAAGAGCTGGGA